TTGGGAGCGGTGCACTTGGACACGGTGCATTTGGACACAGCCAATCACAGCACCGTGTGATTAGAGACATTTGTAGGGTCCCTTGGAACAGCGACTTGTGATTGGACTGTGTCCAACTGATATACACCCATTGAAAATAAGTATTGAAGGCAGCAGCACCGAATAAAATATTAGTCCCGCCATGTAAATAACTTTTACAGAATTTTTTTGATGGTTTATTTATAAAAATATATCATGCTTCAATTTTGATAAAACTTAATACAATCTGAACGGGACGATCGACCAAATTAATTCGCATATGCAAAAGTACAGTATTTTATTAACATGATGGAAAAATGTCATTATCTGCTGTTTTATTGCAGTAATTTTCTATATAGTCCTTGGTAGAAAATTAATTTCGAATTATCGTTCCGGTCTCTCTTACATTATTTATATGCTAAATGGTTTCGTCGATATTTTGGGATTTAAAAGGCAAACTATGAGATTTTTTTCCTTAACCTTTAAGTGCGCAATACAAAGCGCTTTTTATCAGGTGAGGAATTGGCGTAGTGTCTAAGGCGACGGACGATTATCCAAAAGATGTCTTCGGTTCAAGTTCGAATCTCACCAGAGAAAATCTTAAAAATTATGAAAAAATAATATAGAAAAACTTTTTTTTCATAGTATTTTATGAGTATTTATGAGAAAGCGCTTATTCTATGAGTAATTATGAAAAATTATGAGAAAATTTAATTGAAGAACCTACGAAACGACAGCCTCTGCGCGCAATCTGCCGCCAGTCTGTCGTCAGAGTCTGTTCGCAGACCCTGTCAACAGTCTGGCGGCAGATTGGGGACGCAGATGTCTATGGATCTGTCGACAGATCCTGCTCGGATTCGACAGATCCTGTCGACAGTCTGACGTCAGTCTGCGCGCAGATTGCTTACTGGGTAAATACTGTACTTTTAATACTGAAAATAAGTAATTAGTCAATGATTCTTAGTATGATATTTTTATAAGGGAATGCGTATCCTCAACGATCGTACGAACTGGTGATGACAATGCGCTGTGAAAGAGAGAGAAAGAAGGAATATTCTCTCTCTTTTGCGAGCACGTTATATGTTAAAGTTTGATTAGTTATACAACATTGTATCAATATTAATCGCATTGTTGTTACGTCCTTTGAAACATTTACCAACATGTCATTACATATATCCCTTATAGAAATATCATACTAAGAATCATTGATAATTACTTATTTTCAGTATTAAAAATACTGGATAATAAGTAATTATCAATGATTCTTAGCATGATATTTCTATAAGGGATGTCATTATATGATATGTCATTACATTTTTAAACGCTATAAGAGTATATTGTAAATACAACCCACCACGATATCATTATTGCCATCACCAGTTGCCGTACGATCGTTGAGGTTAGGCATTGAACAGCGCATAATCATTTAAAGATGGGTGACGTTTGACACGGGGTCGAATAAATCCACGCAAATCTTACGAATAAATAAAATGACATAAAATATGAAATGATAGTTTTTTTTATTATTTAGTCAAATTAATACTTCATTATACTTTTTTCAATCTATTTTAATTAATAATGATTTTTTACTGAATTTTTCTACATTTTTAATGAAATATTATCGAAATATTAATAAAATTATAGTGAAATTTTAATGAAATTGGGTCAAAATTGTGAATGCTTTTCAAAAGCATTTCAGCAAAAATTCATTATATTTTCAATAAATTATTTCCATCAGATACAAATATCTTAGTTGAGATCTTATATGCGAATTTTTGCGGAAACCACATTTGAGAATTCAATTGAGAATTCAACTGAGAATTGAATTGGGAATTCTATTGTTATTTCAACAGAAATTTTTCAATAGGATAGACATTTAGACATCCCTTATAGAAATATCATACTAAGAATCATTGATAATTACTTATTTTCATTATTAAAAATACTGGATAATAAGTAATTATCAATGATTCTTAGTATGATATTTCTATAAGGGATAATTTCCGAGATATCAAAATGCATTCTTAATAAAGTTACTTTTAAGTTCCCTTTCTGACAAGCATGTTGATTGGGTATATTCTCCATAATTAACCCTTATAGAAATATCATACTAAGAATTATTGATAATTACTTATTATCCAGTATTTTTAATACTGAAAATAAGTAATTATCAATGATTCTTAGTATAATATTTCTATAAGGGTATCACAACAGATCTCACTTTATTATACTACATAATGTATTACCGCAATTCCGCTGATGTACTTTTCCTTCTGTTCCATGAAGCGGTAAACGCGGCAGCAGAATTATGTTTTAGCCAATCGTAAAATAGTTGCATATTTTCGTAAAAAGTATTTTACTGAGAAACTAATTTTACTCTTTACTAATTTATTATTATACTCTTTACTAATATATTATATAATTTGTATAAAATATTATTAAAATTAGTAAAAACGTAAGAAATAACATTAAAAGTCTACTTTTTGTACGGTTCCGCCTATTCCGTTCCATAGGACACGAAAATAGAAAAAGCGCCAGAAGAAAAGCGGAACGGCTGTGATTGGTTGTGCTAACTCCGCACGTTCCGTTCCACTGAAAATTTACGCTCCGTGGGACGGCGCCCTATGCAGGATTCACACTGCGTCCGATATCCGACGTACGACGTCCGATATCCAATAGAAGAATAACTTTGTAATAGAGAATTCAATCTCCATTGGAAAGCTGTTCTCCTATTGGATATCGGACATCGTACGTCGGACATCGACGCGGTGTGAATCTATAAAGGGACGTCTACATTGGAAGTAAGTAGGAAGTAAGAGTAAGAAATTGACCAACTATAGTCGAATGTGAGAAGAATAATCAACTATGATTGGTCAATTTCTTATTCTTACTTCCTACTTCTTACTGCTTACTTCCAATGTAGATATCCCTTTAAAGGGACGTCTACATTGGAAGTAAGCAGTAAGAAGTAGGAAGTAAGAATAAGAAATTGACCAATCATAGTTGATTATTCTTCTTACATTCGACTGTTGTTGGTTAATTTCTTACTCTTATTTCCTACTAGAAATGGGCGATGTTTAGAAAACATCGATGTTCGCTCATTGAGGATAGTATTACATGTGGAGAAAATGTTAGGGTCTCTAGAAATTCTCCGACAGTCAATCGGTGCACAACTCTTTACATGTAATACTATCCTCAATGAGCGAACATCGATGTTTTCTAAACATCGCCCATCCCTACTTCCTACTTCTTGCTATTTACTTCCAATGTAGACGTCCTTTTAGGCTTCTCTCTGGTAAAATATATATATAGAGAGAGATAATCGCACTTTTTGTTCCGCCATGTATTCTTATGTCCATGATTTATCCTATCTAATTCTAGTTTAAAAGATGGAAATTAAGTACAATTTTGTGAAAGAAATTGACTGCAAACAAGGCGCTGTTAGATCTGTACGATTTAGCGGTGAATAACGATGACATTTTTTTTTACATTGTATTTTTATGATTTATTAATGCAAATTTTTATATTTTAGTCGACGGTTTTTATTGTATAACGTGTGGATCAGATAGAAAGCTGAAGTTATGGAATCCATACAGATCCACTACATTAAAAACGTACAGTGGGCATGGTGATGAGGTTATGGATGCCTGTGCTTCTTGTGACAGCAGTCAAATTGTATCCTGTGGATTGGATAAGTCTGTAATTCTTTGGGACGTAGCAACAGGTACACCTGTGCGCCGTTTCAGAGGACATGCTGGTGCAGTCACAACAGTGAGGTAGATTTTTCATTACTTCTCTATAGTAAATTTGAAATTTTATAATCATAATTTGTTGGATATATTATACTAAATAAGAGAGAGGTATACATAAAATGGTACTTATCCAGTTTAGCGGCCTCATCTTCGATTTCGATGAAAGTAGGCTCAATCGACGCGTTTTTGTTAAAGAAACAACTTTTTTATTTGACAAAATTGTCGCTCTACTGCGAAGCGAGATATTAATAGATAAAGTTAAGGGCGCGTTAGGTTAAAAAATCTGTCATACCGTCTATCTTTAGCTGTGTAACTGGGGGTTCGCCTCCCAGACCCCCCACACCGCGGCGGGGTGATGGCCGCAGTCATTGTTTATTAAAAAGTTGAAAAAAAAGGTTGGACACTTTTTAATAAACAATAACCGATGACCAATGTGACGATAGGTTGAGTTAGGTTAGTTTTTAGTGGGGTGCGAAGGCGCAGCCCCCCGCTCGTCGTTTGATATCTTTCCCGTGTGTTACAAATGTCAAATATATTAAAAATATTCTTAACTTAAGTATTTTTATGAAGTTGCTGCACACTGCGTTACACTAATACAGTAAGTGCAACTCTAACTAACAGACTACGTTCAATGACGGGTTTCTTAACCTATCATACCTAGCATCTTTAACAATTAATATCTCGCTTCGCAGTAGAGAGCGACGATTTTGTCAGAGGAAAAAGTTCTTTGGCATGCGAAAACGCGTCGATTGAGCCTACTTTCATCGAAATCGGAGGTGGGGCCGCTAAACTGGATAATTATTCTTTTATAAGATAGTGTATATTATTAAAGCAGAGGAAAGCATACACTATTTTCATATACACTATGAACTATTCTCTGCTTTATAACAGAGTTTATGCTTTTGATTAAAGCAGAAAAAAGCCTAATTCGCATTACATTTAAATAACAGATTTCTTAACCTTGAATGTAACTAACTTTAACGCTAAATATCTCGCTTTGCGAGGCAGAGCGACATTTTTTTCGGCTAGATTCTTTTATTTTTAGTAAAGACGTGTTGAATAAGCCTATTTTCATCAAAATCGGAAGTGAGGTAGTTATTCTAAACAATTACCTTAGTTTTTTAATGATTTTAAAAAGATGAATTTTCTTATTAGATATCAAATAGTTTTTGAAATTCATTGAAATAAAAATGTTCCAACTTTTCTTTCAACACGTATTAATTGTAAAACAGATTTTTTATCCAGATAATTTACCCAGATAGCGGACTCACGTCAAAATGACGTCCAACTCTGATCAGTTCATGACCAAAGTATGACCAAAAATGTTGTGAAAATGGTGTCAAAATGACAGTCTAATGTCACAAATCAATGACGACATTTTAGTATGACTTAATGATGTTTTAATGACGTTTCTAGACATCAATAATACGTCATTAAGATGTCACAAAATACAGAAACGTCATTAAGATGTCTCAGAGATGTCTTAAAGATGTCATTATTTAGTCACTTGATGTCAATTGACCTATTATGACCAGTTTTGACATCATTTTGTTGTGAATCTGCTATTTGGGTAATAAGTATGTTTAGTTGAACTGTAAACTATGGTCAGCATAGTATTAATATATTAATGTATCAATATATTTTGTTATTTATGATAAACAATTTTTGTTGAATATTTATTTCATTTATATATTACATACTAGATTTTGTGTAAATTTGTAACAGTTCTTACTATGTATTAGTTCATATATTTTACTTAGTTTTAGTTAAGTTAAATTTCATAGTTTTTATTGTAATTACAGATTTAATGAAGAATCATCGATGATAATTTCTGGATCTCGTGATAACAGTATTATGTGTTGGGATGCACGTTCTAAAGTACAAGAAGCTGTACAAATATTGAGTGATGCCAAAGATTCCATTTCAAGTGTAAGAGTTTCAGATCATGAGATTTTATCTGCTTCTTTTGATGGTAAAGTACGTACTTATGATATACGCATTGGAGAACTTTGTGCGGATTTTATGGGAGGTAAGTAAGAGAAGTTTGAAATAATGACAAGTAAAATTAGCAATTTTATTGATCAAAATGTTTTTTAGATGCAGTCACATGTGCAAGTTTTACCAGGGATGGCCAATGTTTAGTTGTTAGTTGTGCGGATGAAGTGATTAGATTAATTGATAAAGATACTGGAGAATTACTTAGTGAATTTACAGGACATAATGGAAAAGATCTATGTTTAGAATCAAGCGTAGATTGTCAAGATACAAGCATTTTTTCTGGTTCAGCAGATGGCAAGTTATGGATTTGGGATCTTGTGTCCCAGAAAGTGGTTGCAAAACTTTCAGGACTTAAGCCAACTAAATATCCTACTGTGTCTATTAGTGTCCATCCACAGAAGAATTGTATTTTGGCTTCCAATGGATTTAATATTTTAATGTGGAATTCCTCTACTGATATAAATAACGAGTAAAATTCGAATTTACATCATAAGTACAGCTTTGTATACAAAGTGAGTAATAGAATTGTTAATTGTTTTGCATTCTTTTCTTGATATTGAATGATATAGGTGAGATAAATAATAGAGTTTAAAAATAATGTGTTATTATTACAAGTTACTTTCTTTAGTGACAATTTGGTAATGATATTATTTTTGTGTTTATTAGTATATTATTACAACTTATTATTAATAAGTAACGACAACGAACATAATCGTTATTTTTATTGTTACTTCACTGTAAATCAAAATAAGTTATTTTAGCTGAAATTCTTACATATTTATTACTGTTTTAAATCATTTATAATTTAATGTGTTTAACGTATTAAATGATGTGCTTTAAAAAGCGAAAAAAACATAAAGAAAAAACTTCACCAAATATGTTATTTTTAGATGTCTATATGTGTAAAAATAACATACTTTGATTTGCACTATTTACATATATCGAATACGTGTATAGAATAGGTAGAAGTAAATCTTAAAAAGATTTTAAAATTTCGTCGAAAAGGTAAGGAAATTGTAACGATTCGTCACTTTTTAAGTAATGATAAAAGTAATGAGTTTTTTTTTAAGAGTAACAAATAATGATAACGACAGTTACTTTTTTTTAATAAATAACGTGTAAGGCGCGGTAACGAATTACTTTTTAAAAATAACTTTCCTGAAATTTTTATTAATACAGATACCTGATATCTGTATTAAAATCCTGAAATAAATAATGATATGAGTATCTTTTGGTATTATTTAACAATAATAAAATAAATCTGCTTACATAAAAAAGCTATAAAACCTAATAATAATAAAACATAATAAAAGTTAAAATAGCCTAATTAAATCACTAATAGCGAATTTGACTGGATATACTAGTGCGCACTAATATAAGAAAGTACTAAGGCTAATACCTAAGATTGTTTTAGGTTCATTGTTAAACGTTCCGTAGTCTGTAAAATTGCATTGTAAAACGGTCTGTGCAGTATCTAAAGATAAACATAAAATGATCTTAAATATAAGAACATATTTGAATATTGGCTTAATCCTTTATAGGGCAAAACTTTTTAAAGATGATGACTCTAATGTCTATTATGAGTTTACATAACATACTTAAATACATAACAAATGTGTAAAATAAGAAACTTTATTATACTTATTATTATAATTATTGATTATTATAATTATTGGAAAAAATCAACCATTGAATGTTCAGTGTAAAACAATACAGATTTTAAACCTCAGGTAAGGTAAGTAATTAAAATATCGATCACAAACTTGTAAGGGTTAACGGTCACTGATGCTCACTAATTATCTAATTAAATTCGCCATAATTCAAGTAACATTTATTTTATTTATCTTCTCTATAAATCATATTATTTTATATATTTTGAAAATAAATTCGTACAATAACATACAAAAATTTTTATAGAAAAACAAATATGTATCATATATTCTTACATATATTCTTATAAATATATATATATATATATATATATATATATATATATATATACACATACATACATACATACATACATACATACATACATACAAGATATTGACGTCAAGAAGTAGAAGTAAACAACTAAAATAGAAATCCCACGAATAATTAGAAAACAAATTTTTGGGAACGATGCCCAATTCGCACATATATAGATTTGTATACACCTACAGTGAGATTAAAGAGCATATGCACTTATGATAGAAGAAATTTTACACTAATTTTACACTTACTAATGTATATTCGTTATACTTGTTCGTACAATTATTTGAAGAGGTTTTCTAATAAAGTTAAAAACGCATGATATGATCATGATTACGAACCATTTGTAACATCGGACGTCTCGTGTATTTGAAGAAAAATAAAAACGAAGATTTTCTAATTCTTTAAATATCACAGTGGCAATTCTAATGTATTGATTAGATTGTACAGATCTCGGATGTATTAACATATTGTTATTTTATCTTAATTAAATTTACTTTCGTATAGTGTATTGTCATTTCAATTCTTATCACAATAAATCAGTGAGCAAGCAATGAGCAATGGCTTGCAACCATGATTTTATGCGCTCCTAAAAAAAAAAAAAACGTGTTTAAGCCGTTGTGAAACGAGTGACCTGAGAAAGTACAGAAAATGTTTAAAACCGAAATTAACTATTTGAATGCTGAAGGATCATAAGAATATATAAGAAAAGTGCCATATAAGACAGCAAGCCTGATGCTAATAGTCCTGGAGAATATATTAAAATATAATTCTATCACAAAAATTATTCTTAAACATTAAGTAACAATCGTATAAATATGAAATGGCGAGACATGGAAAAAATCTTATAAAACTTTGCGTATAAAATATGAAAATCAGGGTAGTGATATCTGGCAATTTTTGTATATATAAAATTGTTACTCTCTTCGACGATTAAATGGTTAAAAGTATTGTAAAATATAAAGTCTGCTCGTTTTCGAAGAACTTTTACATTAGTGAAACAAGTATACTTTTTTTTACTTTAACCTATTGATTTTAATGACTAGTTTAGAAGTTCTTTGAAAATAAAGAGGCCTATATACTTAAAAGTATTTATTCATAAAATTATTTGTCGAAAGATATCTTTGAATAAAAAATCAAAATCTATACGGATTTACGGATAATCTCAATTTACATCCGTTTTTATACAAAAAATTTTCAGAACTTTTTATACTTATATTTATAAGATTTAATATTTCTTTATATTTAAGAAAAGGAAATATTGAAAATCGCATTTTAATTTTAAGATTTTTATGTTTAATACAAATAATTGTTTAGTTTTGAGCATATGCTTCTTTATTTATATCTCCACAAAACTCTGTGGAGCTTTTTTAAGAAGTAAAACACGATTATATTTTATAAGCTGTCTATGTCAGTATCAAAGTATATTTCTCTTATAAAGAAATCTGAAACTACATATATGAATGATAGTTATTTTTTTGTGCTATAAAGAGGAATAGATTGAAAATCCACCATAGGAAATATTTAATTTCATGTTAGCTTAATTTCATGTTTAAGCTTGTTTTAATTTCATCTTACGATATAAAAATTGTTTTATATATAGACTATATAACATCTTAAAAGCCTAAAGCAATGTTAAATATAAGATTGAACGTTCACCTGTGAATGTTCCCCTATATTTAATCAATATCCAGAGAAAGTTGTTTATCTAGAATAATATTTATAGGAGTCTATGCAGTCATTAATGAACAAATATGATGTTAAATTCTTAAAATTTGAAGCAATCAATTTAATATAGAAAACATAGAAGTGAAAATGTAATTGGAAGTTGGTAAAAATACATGTATAAGATTTTTGTAATCGTTTAAATAAAATATAAAGTATTTGATGTCAATTTGAACATTCAAATTCATGTATGCACAAAATCAATGATCTGATACATATTCTGAAGTATATATTTTAAAATTTAATATTTTTATTTTATTTTTGGCATTTTTGTTGTATTTGTCATTTAGAATTTAAGAATTTATAAAGCCATGTTACACTTATTATTAAAGTCATATTATATTTATTATTAAAGTTGTATTACACTTAGTAACATTAATAGTTGAACTTTCAACTTAGTAATAAGAACATTAGAACATTAGTAATGAAATTTTCACTTGTTTATTCATCTAAAGTGGGTATGGATTTAAATATTATAATCATGTTTATATTAATGATCTCAGTGACACACACAAAAATCTTTTGTATAAACATTTTTCTTCATTTTTCTTATCTATAAATCTTCCATTTATGGTTAAATGATTGATTTTTCGGATAAGATGTAAATATATTGTTGAAAAATGAGCGACATTCGCTTATTAAAAATTTTTCTTTCTTTTTTAAGTTGATGTTTCTTGAGCTGACCGTCATACTTTCGATTTTTTTTTTTAAGGAGTAAGAGTATAGGTTAGATTAATTTCAAGATTAAAATAGTGTCCAAGTTAGAACTAAAATTGAATTAGGATTAAGCTGCGTCATGTTACGCACAACCGTATTGCATGTACGTATATGTTTAGAGATTCATCGATACGATGCGCGTGAATATAACTTTAAAGCGTGTACATATTTTAACTACGTCAGGATGAAGAAAGCACGTTCTCGCACCGGCTTGTAAGATAGAGCGAGAGAAACAAACATGCGCGCGCAGGTGGCGCGATGTAGTGCGTCAGTCACTGGTCGTCGGTGCAGTCTCGCCCGGGAGTGCGAGAGAGAAGTTTGCTGTTTTAGCTGAGCAATTGAATATGGTAGAGGAAGACAACAGATATTAAAGAGTGAGAGAAACTGGTTGAATTGCCTCGAAAGAGAGACAAGCAAGAGAGAGAAAGACGGTTATATCGTGTAAGACTCACTGTGGATCTGCACACGGAGCGAGCCGGTCAGTCGCACTACTTACGGAGTGTACTTTTGATCGCATACAATTTCAAGTAAGAAAAGAACAAACCAAGACAAGACCGAGAGAAAATATTAATGCAAACGAAAGGGAAGCAGCGAACTACTCGATTCACCGATGTGAAGTACAAGCTGAACCACATGGTGGCTTTTAAAGCTGTATAAGTGATTATCTCGTTCTATAACAGCGCACATTGTTGTTATTGTTATTGTTGATCGATAACCACCACGAAAGGAATAGGAGATAGAAATAGGGAAGGAAAAAGGAAGAGAGACAGAAAAAAACTCGTGGCAGAAAGCGTCGAGAGGTTGGCAACGGTGGTGGTGTCACTACGCTGGGTGGTGGTGGTGTACTGTGACACAGTAGTGGAACGAAGGCACGAAGGACGGCTGTGAGTAGGAAGAGGGTTGTTATGGGGCGAGATTCTCGTGATGTGTTGCTGCTCATCGCATTATCGGCGGTGGCTGCGCTGGCAGGAACGGATGCCTTTTCGACAGAAAGTAAGTCTATGACAAATGTGAAATATATTCGGAACAAATAAGGAGCCGAAGAGGGGGATGCGGGAGTTGTTCCTTGAGTTTGCTTGATATATCTATTTTCATTGGTTCTTCTGACATTCCATTGATAAATCTGACATTATATCAAACTTTTCACCAGCAGTTCTAAAGCTTTTTCGACACATCGCGATGATTTTTTAAGTTTTTCAGTTATACTTTGTCTAGTTTCGCGCCATCATCCACAACTTCCCCCTTCCGAGTGCGTCGATAAGAGACAGGTCCTTACAGATGGTGGTGAATGCAGGTTTTAAGGTCAACACGTCCAACAGTTTCTTATGTGTTCTTTTAGGAGATTTATTTATTCTAAGTTGTCGATACTGATACACATCGTGGAGAGATAATTCGTTTATTTACGTCCATCGTGCCTCTAAATTAACCTCCAGCGTCATTGGTTTTTGACGTCGCACAGTGCTTGTGAGAAGCACGTAAAAAAAATTAATAATCGCGCATATCACGTCACATATCTTACTTTGAATTCTTTGTCTCCAAATGTTAATTCGTTTATGAAATCTGGGAAACACCCCGGTAAAGTCACAGGGAGGATTTCATGGCGGCTGTTTTAATCCTGTATCTTCGAAATTTTATTCTAGGTTATATGATGCGAATATCGCTACGCGAACAAAACATATTTGTAAAACATATTTTTTAAATTCTGCTTTTGCATTTATTTTAATCAGTTGATTGTATTGCATTGTATTTGTATCTCGAGTTGAAACATATGTTATTAAACTAATTCTCGTTTATATACATATGTATAGAAGATGGTTTAATAGTCTTAGGGTCGATTGTTTCAAGTTCTTGGTAACAGTTCTTGGTGACAGTTAAATTATGTCTGCCTTCGATTTTTCTTCAAATAAGATAAAGACAAACATATGATTTAACTATTAGGCAACTTATCAAGAGATTGGAACAATGGGCCCTTGATAGATAGAAACTATAATTGTCAACTTCCTGCATGTACGTATGCGCACAGTTGAAAACCATAAGAACCCTAATAATTATAACTATTCCATTTTCAATCTTGTGTGTGTATGTGTATATATATATATATATATATATATATATATATATATATATATATATATATATATATATATATATATGTATATGCACAAGATTGAATATCGTAATTGTTTTAAAACTTGTTTTAACCCTAGGTATACACACTTATTTTTCGCGTAGATGCTACACTGGGTTCTCAAGGACTTCAGCTACTTTTTTTTTATTATAACTCTAGTAAAAATCACCGTATTTTGAGTTTTTTTCCCGATTGTTAATAGACTGATAAACACATATATTTATTAAGAATTAAGATTTATTAGGAATTAGGATAAATTATAATAAGCATCACATAATAAAGACGTGTTGAAACATTAGAAATACTCATAAATACAAAGGAAACGTTTTACCGTAATATATTGAAATGAATTTTAATAGCTTGAAAAATGTAAATCTTTTTTGGTAATAGAGATAATCGAAAAAAGTTTTCAGATTTTGAAAGGGCATATTTCAAGATATAAAGAAAAAAATCTTCGCTTAAATTGGAATCATGAAAATCACAAAGCTCCAAGATTGACGATTTTTCATATTTCTATTTTCTGGCAGTTTTGCAGACAGGTATAAGAGTTAGGATTTTTATTAAAAAATACAAACTCAATAACTTGTAATGCATGTAATAGAAACAGAAGAAGAAAAACGTAAATAATTTAAAAGCGGCAAATAACATTCACCCAACAAAGCAGTATCATTTAGTCTGTGTTTCTGTCTTCCAATAATAAAATTTTAGTTCTTTTTTTACATTATTTATTTAATCTAATATTTTTTAGAATATATATTTACCCTATGAACTCGAATAAAATTAATTACAAAATATACTTGCAAAAAAAGTTGCACGAAGTACACACTGGGGTCTGGGAGACTCTGAGCTTACTTTACGTGTGAATTACCACAAAATCGACAGACAATTGACTGCTCCGACAGTTGCTATCTACAGAAGAGACTTCAAATTTTTTTTTACACGGCGGTCGTATCCTCCTTACTTATTCTCTCTACTAATACTAGAGTTTCAAACTTTGCCTGGGGTATCACAGACCCCAGTGTGTATACCTAGGGTTAAACTTATTATGATTTTCAATCGCATGCACATTTCAACCTAAAGCGCATAGAAGTCATATATGCTTTAATGTTATAATCTATATACGATTTTCAGTTCTATATGCAATGTACTAAAAATCGTAGGAAATTTTAGATTTCCTACGATTATAATTTTTTAAATTATTACTAAATGTTAAGGAATTAAAACTGGCCTATATACTGAAGCTGATTTAATAGTCTTAATGCGCAGTGGCTGTGATTCCCAATTGTTTACATATGTATATGTGCGATTAAAAATCTCCATAACTAATGTAACTGTTAAAACTACGTCAACCTGTTACATTCATGTATTATATATATTATATGTTACATATTCGCATGTGCAAAACGTGTCAAGATTCTCGTGTGTTTTTGTTTTGATTCGCGACTGTCACATATCTTTCACAACGCCGCAATAGAACGTGGAAAGCGTAGTGACAAAAACAATCTTCGAAATTTGGCTGATGTTACGTAAAATATGTTATATAAGACAAGCGTACAATGCCAAGCGCCTTCGTTTTATCAATCGTGCTGATTCGCTTCTTTTCCCTGTCTTTGTATAGTTAGTATCATGTATGCCATGCTATTCTCTACACTGACAATTCACACTGAGAGTTTTCAGTCTTATAAACATATACATAAAATAAAAAATTATGTAACTCTACAATGGCAGTGTTATAATGACTTTAGTTATAATAGTTTCGACTTTATACATATATGTATAAAACTGAAAATCATGTAGCTTTTGAATGACAGCATATATGACGGGGAATGTATACGTTTCTTGTTGAGGTAAGTACATAGACTGATATAACACTCTTAACATCTACTATCACGATAGTAACTAGAATTTTCTAACCACATGTAATATGACTACATTCATACTTCACGACTATTCAATCGGCAAAAATATATCAAATACTATTTCTTTATACATTTTTATGTTTTGTTATTTTGTCTGAATAACAGATAACATATTATTACACGGAAAAAACAATATGGTTGATCCATACAGAAATCTGGTTGTGCCAACCAGATTCAATAGTAAAATACGGAACAACTATTTATGTGGTTACTGTAACCAAAGAGCAATGGCTGAGTTATTTATATTGCAGCAGTGATAATACATGGTTAATACAAACGTGGCTCATTACGCGGCAACTACAAATGTAAATTTATACACTCAGAACCAGTTTTCATATGTATACATCTCTAGCTGTGTGCGTAGTGAATTGCTTTTGTTTTCTAATATCTCTGCTTTGCAATATAGCATTGATTAATGCAACTATATCGATATTTAGCTTGTCTATGCAAAGTAATCCCCTTACTAATTTCTGGTTGCCACAACCAGATCACGTGCAACTTCATTGACATGTAATTGACATACCAAAGTAAGTCAAATCAACCATACACATAACTATCGTACAAAGATATGTAGAATGATGCAGCTATTTGCTTATAACTAAATATTTTTTGTTAGGTGCACCACATCTCTTTTTTCCGTGTACTGTTCCTTTAAATAACTAACAATTACGATATATGAATACGTCGACATAATGAGAGTAGTTGAATAATTCTAATTACGATTGTAGTATTATGTATTAAAGTTATTATGCTTGTCTGTATATATATGTATACTAATTTGCAAGAAAATGCAAATGCGTATACATATAAGCTCTTTTTTGACGTATTTCAAAACGCATTACTAATCACTTCGACGTCTGATGACTTTATCTTATGAAAATTATTCAAAAAGAAATTCTCGCATTGAACGTCAGTTGCGTTCTAAAGTGTATTGAAAAAGACATGTTTAAACTGTTCTGCAACAAGTTTATACTCGGCTTCAATGTAGTTTGAACACTTTTAATACAATTTGGATTGCAATTGATGTTCAATGAGTGAACTTATTTTCTGAGAATTATTTAAAAGCAAATTCTCCCATTGGACATTGACTGTTTCATATTTTTCATAAAAGTATTTAAAATGTATTGAAATCGAATGTACATGTTGCGTTCAATCGTTGTTTGCCATTGGTTTTAATTACTTTCTATCACTTTTTAGATAATTATGTGATTTCACGTTTATAAAACCATTCATCTTTTTTGTCAAACAAATCATCGACAATGACGAACTTTGTAAGTCCTTAATATTTTACGGGTTAATGCACGAGCTAATATAGAATTACTTGGATTATAAATAGCTTATATACGTACTGTGTATATGCTATATATTTTATGTCTACGCGTCAAACGTAACTTCGTTGTTCGTTGATAGATAAACTCATGTTGTATAATATTTTATTTACATTGAGTAATATTTCTCAACACAATCAGCATATTATTTCAAAAAATAAATCACATATACATACACAGAAAAAACAATATGGTTGATCCATACAGGAACCTGGTGGTGCCAACCAGATTCAATAGTAAAATATAGAACAACTATTTATGTGGTTGGTGTAACCAAAGAGCAATGGCTGAGTTACTTATGTTGCAGCAGTAATAATATATGGTTAATACAAACGCGGTTCATTACGCGGCAACTACAAATGTATATTTATACACTCAGAACCAGTTATCACATGTATACATCTCTAGCTGTGCGCGTAGTGAATTGCTTTTGTTTTCTAACATCGCTGCTTTGCAATATAGCATTGATTAATGCAACTATATCGATATTTAGCTTATCTATACAAAATGATCCCCTTACTAATTTCTGGTTGCCACAACCAGATCACGCGCAACTTCATTGATGTAGTTGACACACCAAAGTAAGTAAGTCAAATCAACCATATACATAACTATCGTATAAAGATATGTAAAATAATGTAACTATTTGCTTACAACTAAATATTTTTTGTTAGGTAAACCATATCTCTTTTTTCCGTGTATATATCTCATTTTAAGTCTACTTTTATTATTATTTTCTTAACAGCGTTATTGTAGAAAAGTAAAATTTTATAGAAGCAAGAAAATTTTAAAATTTAATGTTATATAATTATAATATTTAACTTATTCAACGCCAGTATTATATAGACGGTGTTCTTAGCTAGTGATTTTAATAGAGGAAAGAGTAAAAGAACTTAGGAAGGAGTTTAGAGAGACTGGGGGTGGGAGCTTTGATAAATTAAAAATTTTTATTTAGCTTTAAGATAAAGATTGAAGATAGTTATATTTTGATTAAGGATAGTTATATTTTGATTAAGGATAGTCATTAAAGTTAACATTCAAAATTTTTTGAAGTTCGATTATAATTAATTTAAACAAATATAATGAACAATAATAAATGTGATAAACAATAATAATCGATTAATAAATTATTGGAAGTGATAATTGTTCATTCAAATTGTTATAAATTAATTATAATTGAACCTTAAAAAATTTTAGATATAAATTCTAATTACAAAAATATAACTATCCTTAATTTTTATCCTATAGTTAAATAAAAATTTCAAATTTATCAAAGCTTCCACTGCTCCTCTTTACTCCTTCCTGAATTCTTCTACCCTTTTTTTTTATTAAGATCAGTAGATAAGAACACCATCTATATAATATTGAAATATTATAATTATGATTAAGTAACTTCAAATTTTAAAATTTTCTTGTTTCTATAAAATTTTATAATTTGAGGATTATCAGTCTTTGATACCTATGATACCAAAAAATTGTTACCTATTTTGTGAGAAAATAGATCATAAAATTAAGGTTGCACATAATAAAACATTTTGCGGGTATCATTATCTGATTATGTAACGATAATCTTTATTATCCTGCGGAATTTATTTTCTCAATAAACAGCAGGTTCATTATTGTTAAGGATAGCGATATAATCTTGTCAGCTAGTTAATAACAAAAGACAAGCTACAAAATAATATTTATTTTTACAATTACTGTCTGCCTGCGATATTTAAACGGCTTATGTGTCGCAATCGTGTCATCTTCTAATAGCATTGTTCTAATTATAATCTGTTACAAATCTTGGCATTATCTCAATTCGTTCGATTTTATCAAAATCAAAAAGGAGGGTTTAACTTTTTAAGGGTTTCACGAACGCTTAGGGATCGTTTTATATTTATATTTTCTGTATTTTTTTCGTAGAAACCGAAAATGATCAACAACGCCAAGCTTAAGGGGGAAAAAATATATATACATATATATACATATACATATTAGGTGTACAACTTTGCCTCCGCCGTTTTTTTTCCGAAATTCGAGGCTTTTATTGAAAAAACTGGTTATACATTTATGATTCAAAGTATTGTTCATCGCTGGCCACTACTTTCTCCTATCTTTCGCGCAGCGTACAAATCCCGCGTCGAAAAAAATGGTCATCTTCTGAGACGATCCACGAATCGATCCAATTTTTTACTTCATAAGACCGAAATGCTGGTTAGCCAGGCCGTGTGCCATTGATCGAAACAAATGATAGTCAGAGGGAGCAACGTCTGGAGAATACGGCGGG